AAACAATTGGAAAATATGTAGTTAGGAATTAGTTATTTGTAAGCTTGTCCATTTAGATGTATTTAATAAACATTTTTCATCTTAATATACCCTCTAAAGCTAGCTACTTATACCAATATCTGATTTCCTATGAGTAGGGTTTACCAGGATAATATTGGCAAAATGACCTCATGCAGCTAGAAACTCTCACTAACTACCTAAGAACTATAGAGACTGTATCAAAAAATAAAAAAGAATCAGATGAGTAGAAGATTAATTATTAATGAGTGTTGGTGCTCTCTTGAGACGAGCGTGGCCCAATGGTTAGCGTGCACGGGCTGCGAATCTGAGAGTTCATGGTATGCATATTTTTGCCGCAAAAACGCGATCCGCATTTTGAGGCTGTGAGTGTGCTACAAGAGTGACAGTCAAATTCCATTATTCGGTCGGATAATAGAAGTCTAAATGTTGGCGGTGGTTGCCGTTAACTATCTGTTTTTCCTTTAATCTATCAGTTCAAAATTAGGGCAGATAATGCTTTGTTTAGCTTTATGCGATAATTCTCAAATAAACAAACCTTTTTATACTGTTATCCCATAAAGCATATTTTTCTCTTAAATTTGCGTAATTTCCCCATCAAATGGCTTGTAAATATTAAATTATTCCAGAAGTATAACTCAAGTTTGAAAATAATCAATAATTAGTAAGAGTCACTCATAACGTTTTTTATATAAAATCGCATTCATCCATCTGAAATGGGTTTTTATACTGTGAACAGACTCGTAGCGCATCTAAGTCATTTTTTCATATAACCACATAATTAGTTTACTGAGATTTAATCGTATCTTCTGTCTTACATCCAAATATTTTACAGAATTAACTATTGTTTAACTTCTATAAACTTAAGAGGAAAATAAAGGCAGTATACAAGCTCTTATAAGTCTAGATTTTATTGCATTCATAAATCAGCAATTTTGTTATGCTTTATTCGGAATCAAAAGTCGTTTTCGCATAACTTTTATTTTCATCTTAAGTCCATAGTTTTTCGACAGCAGTGACATGTGTAAACACACAATTTCGTTATACGTTTTTCTACTTTTTCTTTTCAAGTATTTGAAATATTTTTTAACAGTATCTTCTAAGATGTTTGTCTTTGTTTATTTCAAGTTCAGGTAACTTTCACTCCGCATAATCTTTTGATAAAAAGTATGTTTCCAAGCTCCTTGAGCCACATCCTGTTCAACCAGACTTGCTGCCACAAGCTGCTGACCGGTCACTATCTCTAGGGTCACTGGAGCCAACTGTTAGTTCAAGGTTAACTCTATTTGCCGAAACTATTTATTAAGGTTAAGAAATAGTTAATATTCATTTTCGTCTTATCATACGTAGAAACGAAACATGAAAGAAACTCTTTCATAATATGATGTATTAGCTTTTATGTGTCAGTTAAAAAACATATGACCAAAAGATGATTAAAACTAATTTTCTGTGCATCTTGATTTAATCAGTAATGACCTAAAAAGAGAAAAATAAAGGTAAAAATCTACCACTGCTAGACTGCAATGTAGGATAGCATCGTCTATTATAGAATAAATAAAAAAGTATCTGGAAACTCCTTCCCAGTGGCATAGCGGTATGTCTGCGGACTTACAACGCTAGAAACAGGGTTTCGATACCCGTGGTAGGCAGAGCACAGATAGCCCTTGTGTAGCTTCGTGCATAATTAAGAACAAACAAACATCTATTATGATTAGATACTATTTGGTTTAATGCAAGTATCTTAAATTCCTATATAAAAGAAAAATATAATTTACATTGGTGTAGTAGATTGGATGTCAGTTTGTCTGTTTTGATTGAGTATTTAATTTTATGATAGCAGTACACCGTATTCGAATTCCTTTGCTCTTTGCTTGTTTTGTTAATACACTCTTGTAATATCTTCCTTATGAGGTTCTTGCTCTCAATTTCAGTTATCTGATGTATTTCTTTTATTCAAATGTAAGACCATTGTGCTCATTCATTTTACCTTTCTTTTTTCTCGTTTTAAGTCTTAATTGGTTAAATCAAGATGCACAGAAAATTTACTTAGTTATAATCAAATTTTGGTCATATGTTTTTGAACTGACATATAATGACATAAAAGCTAATATATTATATTATTAAGGGTTTTTTTCATGTTTCGTTTCTGCGTATGATAACAAGAGAATGTATATTAACTAGTTTCTAAACTTTAGTGAATAGTTTTAGCAAATAGAGTTAACCTTGAACGTATTTAATTGAGTATTTAATTTTATGATAGAATTACACGGTATTCTAACTCTTTTGTTCTTTCCTTGTTTTGTTAATGTAATCTTTGTTCTCAATTAGAATTATCTGATGTATTCCTTTCTTTCAACTTGAAGACCATTGTGTTTATTCTCGAACACAGGGTATAGGTGGCCTAATTATAAATGGCAAAGCTTGAAAATTACACATGTGTTCATTTATTCTCTGGTTAACTGCTATAATATTTGTAGAGCATAGAGGCTCGTTAACGAGTGTATTGTTTATTTATTTGTAATTCTGTCCCATTTTAAAGTGTATCTTAGCACCTCTATATGCTACAAATATATAGCAGTGTTCTCAATAGTACAATAATAACTTCTTGAACAACAAATTTAATTGGAAGAAAATGGTTAGGTTTCAGCAATACAAACATACATGTAGCCTATTAATTCCTTAGTAATTACTACGACTTTTTACCATTGTCTTGCTGGAATAAGATCTTAAACATCTCCTATACGACTGCGAAGTTATAAGCACGCTGTTACTAAATTATCTTTCCAATACGCAAGACTAAATTAGGTCTTTGTTTATAAAGTAATAGTCTGTTTATAGATTGTTATTTCTAATGAACAAACGTCTTTTGGTCATACGTTCTTAAACTGACTTATAATGACATCAAAGCTACCACACATACACGTGCTATTTTTGTACAATACAGAAAAATTTAGATGACAGATAGAACCTTTGTTGCCATACGGTTGGCTAGCGTAACAGTATCGTATGTATTTCGAGAACGGTATTGAATACACAAATTCGTATTGTTCAAACAGTACTTTTAAGGCCTAATTAGGTTACTCATCAACAATCGGGTGCATAAAGATTTAGTTCCTAGTCGCTAGGCGAGTTTATTTGTTTGAAATAGAACGAAAGTTTGAAAAGAATTAAATGTTTATTGTACCTGTATCTTAGATCTCACATACAGTAAGAAAAGCCAAGGGTACTTTTTATAAAACACACGTTCGATTCCTTCTTTCAGGTTTGATTTTCTTTCTTTTTAAGTGGGTTAAAAGAGTGAGGAGCTTTCTAAAGCTTCTTGAATTCTCATTAAAACCAATAATATATAGAGATCAAACAAAAAAAAAAATATCTTGCGTCTTTCTCCCACTTGGATTTGAAAAAGTTGTCGAAGTTTTTTATGTAGGTGAGATCAAACAACTGAATACCAATTCTAATTCTAAATATAAGTTATTAGGCCTAATTTTGACTTTGTGCAGTTTCCAGGATGTTACCAACTTGGTAACACAGAGAAAGAGTCTTATAACGTTACAAGTGGATTTTATCTATTTATGTATTATTATTCTTTTAACTTATCGGCTATACTAGCTATTGTATAGTGACCAGATAACAAATGTATAACCGTACATGAAAATAGGATTTTATAATATCTGGCACAACGTTTGCAACCAAAGAAATAAATCAATATGTGAATACATTACATAACTAATACCTTTTATACATACACACATGTAAAAGTGCATTAATTTGAAAGTTTGATTATTCAACTGATTTATTACACAGACCAATCTCGACAATCACTCCAGACATCATATGATCATTACTTAACCCTTTTGTGCTTGTTTGATACCAGTAAACAGAAAACCCTACCTTTAGGTACATATGTGTGTTTATGTATATATATATATATATATATATACTATTTTCTGTTTATAGATTCTCCATGGTCCAGATCTGTACTCTTCGAGCCATTTTAAGTTTCTGAACAAAATCAAACTGCACGTTTATATACATTCAATCCATCAAAGACAGGAAGTTATTATATTCAGCACAATATATTATTTTCCGATCTTTGCAATGTTTTACCTAATTTATTGTATAAGTGTTTCATTTAATTCTGTTTTGTTTTTTTTTTGGTTTTTTGCAGTAATTTTTCAGCTTACACCATTCGAAACTTTTCCACCTCATGCAGCTCTTAAAGACAGACGTACATTACAGTGCTTTCCAGTTCAAGGTTCCCTTAGGTCATCGCTATGACGTAATAGCCTGAAAATGCTCTTACTCAGTTTTTTTTTGTAATTACGCCTATACGTAGAGTTAGAGTATTCTGTGTCAAAGCCATGAAAATTAACCCTTTATCAGTTTTAACATTACAGCCCTAATATTTCGAGGCATGTAAGTTTGTGTGAAAAAAAAACAAACATTGTTGAGATATTCTAGACATTCAAACTTGAATTACAGTTGATATTTGCCAAAAATTTGAAAAACACGACCATGAGAACAATGACTTAGTTTAAAAACTGTCTATAATTTGTTGCCACTAAATGGGGAAATAATTGAATATTAAAGGTTGAAACTTGTTTGACCACTGAAAACAATGACTTAGTTTAAAAACTGACCATAATTTGTAGTCACTAAATGGGGAAATAATTGAATATTAAAGGTCGAAACTTGTTTGACCACTGAAAACAATGACTTAGTTTAAAAACTGACCATAATTTGTTGTCACTAAATGGGGAAATAATTGAATATTAAAGGTCGAAACTTGTTTGACCACTGAAAACAATGACTTAGTTTAAAAACTGACCATAATTTGTTGTCACTAAATGGGGAAATAGTTGAATATTAAAGGTCGAAACTTGTTTCTCAAATTAAACTAGCCAAAGTAAAATTCAGAGAAATAGAAAAACGTTAAAAGTGAATTATACATATTTGATCTATCTACCTACCTTCTATCCTAGTTTGCCCCTGAAGAAGAAAGGTCCACTTTTCGAAAGCGCTTGGGTTATAGAGTTTTCATTCATATCCATCCATCTGTAGTTCGTTTTCGGACATTTTACAGCCACCTAGATATATGTACGTACAATCTTTGCGAGTTTCACATAACATTTTCAGATTTCATCCCTGTTAATTTTGAACCTTTCCTCCATATCTCTTCAACAAAGTCTGTATATATCTTTGAAAATAAATTGCTAACTTAACTATAAAATGTGTGTCAAGTAGAGTTTCAGTTAAAGCTGATAAAAAAATGCATTGTTTGTTCTGAAATTTTCACGCAAAGCTACACAATTATCTGATTAAGAGTTGGAGATGCTAATCACTGGGCCCCGATCGGCCTCTTATCAGAAGCTGGGATTATCACTAAAATCAGACGTTTGAATAATTACATTGCTTAATAATTTCACTTATACTGAATTGAATTTTTACACAACAATTAGTTGCATTTTTAAAGAAGTTAACATAGACTTTTATTATATCATATTATATATATACATTAAATGTTTATATATATATATCCTGTTGTTGTGGGAATGTTTATATATATTCTATTGTTATGGAAATATTTATTTTCACGTGATGGGTGTCAGTTAACGTTATACATTCAGTTTCATTTTTCTAAAAGATGAAAACAGAAATAGCAACGCAGACATTAATGTTGAGTATAGTGACTTGTGTCTTACGTGAAGGTTTTTGAATTCTGTCATTTAGCTTTTATTTACCCATTAATCAATGTATGCGTTTGGATAAAGTATTATTGTTGTTTCTCTGTAAGTCCTCATTTTTTCTGCCACTTGCATTCTTTGTTGTCGTGTCTATGTGTTGTTAGTTGTTTGGTTAAATACCTTCTGAAGTTGTTTGTTCTGTTCTCCTTAATACAGGGCTGCATGGTGTATTTGAAGACCTCTTTCTAAGAGATTCATTTTGTCGATTTTTTCCTTACTTTTTTCAGCAATATAGCTGCGAAACTGCACTGTGAGAGTTTTGCAGCATTACGTTAAGGGACGTTCCTGTCCGTACCCTTGACATCTGATGCACGTAACATATGGCAGCTGACAATCATTCCGAAAACCGTTTATCCGCTCCGATACAAACAGGAGTGAGAAACTTCAGTGGCTAACTTTCTGGATTTATAGGACACATCACTCGGTCAGGCTATTTTTTTATAAACAAATAAATGAAGTTTTCTTTAAATGCACCTGAGAACCTTAATAAAGTGATTAATCAATGTATTTGAATTTCAGCAGAATTAAGCAAAAACAGTAACGAAACTTGATGAAATATATTCACGAAATTTTGAGATTACATAAAGAATCTAGTTTTATGTGCCAACTATACAAACAAATCGTAATTTCACAGCTAAAAATTTTTTGGGATAGTAATAAAACCTCGGATATACATTGATGAATATTATTGTTTAATCTTCTAAGTATATAACTAAAATAATTAAATATCATTTCATATTAGTTGTAATAGTTATTCATTTCTAAGGTTATCAATTATTGATACAGTTATGTTAGCTTCCAATATTATGGTATTCTTAATCGAGTGGTAAGTACGTTTTTATAAACAACTCCTATATCAACATTCTTTTCTTAACCACATTCATCCCTTTCATATTTTAGAGAAATATATTTTCAATGAATACTTAAGTTCTTTAGTTAGTATAATATCCTCCAAGTTTGGGCTCCACCTAATAAGAAGTAAGGAAATAACAGACGCTGTATTCTGCAAAAAAACTTTGGCATTGCTGTCAAAACAAAGGAGAGAGATTATATAGAAAACCCTACTTTACACTCACGTAGCTAAAAAGGAATTTGTATATATTGTAGGCGAAGAAGTGTGGGTTTTTATAAAAACTTTTTCCACTCTACTGATTCGTACGACCACCAGATGTCGTTTCCTGTGATTTTCTCCGTTGTTTGGTATTTTAAACATCAGATGACGTCAGAAAAATGTATATATTACAACAAATATAGATTAAATTCCTTCCTAATCATGGTAAATTTAATGTTGTTGTTGTTTTTTTTATCCATATTCATATTAAATCTATAAATCTGTATGTAAACAAGACCTTCAAAAGTTTGACATATTCTTAAGATCAGACTGTATGTGAATCAAAGAAAACTTTTAAGTTATGTAAGACTAATGTGATATACACCAATTCTAAGTATGGTTGTAGGTCTGGGGACTTAGTATTCACCATGGTGAGTCAACTCTGTTCAATATAGGTCAAGGTTATAAAGGGGTGAAACTTTTCAGCATTTACGTTCTTCAGAATTTCCTTAAAACGTTTTTACTCGGTTAGTCTATTTACATAAAACTCTTTAGCTGTAAGTGTTCTCTTGTATTTTATTATCAAGGATTTCTTTCTTTTAAGTACAGAGAAAACATTTCGGTAAAACCAAGTTCTCTTGTTAATACCGACGCTAAAATCAGTGTAATGTGTTTCCTTTCAAGTAGAAACGATGAATTCCACTTGATATGACGGAACATAATAAAACAAGTGTTGTGGAAGAATATATAAGACTGATATTGAATAGATCGTGGGAAAATCCTAAGGGAAGTGGAAGGTCTTTATTTGAATGGACTCCAAGGTAGAGAACTAAACGAAACCATTAGTTTTTAAAACGAGGGCTTTACATTTTAAACATTTCGAACGCAGATATTTTTCCAATGCTGTTGTCAGAGCACTGCATACAGTGTAAAAGAATGATAAATGTTTGACAGAAATCTATGAGCTTCAGCATATTTTCAAATCTAATTATTTGAGATTTTTATATTGAATATTACGGATTATTCTATATGACATAAACGTAAACCAGTCACTGCGTTAACTTGTTTATGTGTGCTTGTAACCAATGCAAGCTGCTTGAAAATGATGAGTTTATATGTATATATATATCATTCATCACATGACAGAAAAGTTAGTGGATTATTTATATTAATCCAATATTTCATACACTGTTTGAATATTCTTACTTTTACGTCTTAGGAAACAGCCTATGACGTCATAATGACTTAATGTAGCCTCAAGCATGTTTATGCTATGACGGGAGATTCCGAGAAGCTACTTCGGTTAGTCAGTGTTTGAGTTCACTTAACGTAGTGGGATGTTATGATTTAGTCGTATGTTCCAATGCTTAGGTTGCAGCAGGTATTTGATGTGGACGACTTAGGGACTTTTAATCCAGGTCCCTGTAATAAGAATTTGTATTTTTACACACATTTTATTTTCGCGTATGGAATTTATTGAGGTAGGTTTATGAATTTGTGTAAAAGCTATTTTATATTTAGTTTCACTTGAGATCTGGGTCATATATATAATTATGTATATATATATATACATATACTACGATATGCACACTTCAGTCAAAATATGTTTCTTTCTAAAATCGGTAGTTAAATACATGCTAAAAATCGGAAAAGTTTTTATTAGTTTTCACCACAGCGGATCGAACCCCCGATATTAGTGTTGTAAGTCCGTAAACTTACCGCTAATCCAGGGTGTTTATAAAATTCAGTAAATTAAAAATTCAGCTATTTTATTCTGTTTTTCTAGACATTTGCCTATTGGGATTTTATGGATCTTGATTTGTTTTTAATTGTGTTACTTTTCCTCACTTAATGAAAAGTTTAATAATTAAATCAGTAGACCAAGCAATAGCTATCAATAGCTATATCTTTATTGGAATTTGATTCTTTTCAACTAAGAAACATATCAAACTACGAAATAAAGTTGTTGCATATTATAGAATACCAATAATGTTATAAGTGTATACAGATTTGTTTTAGATAAAAATGGTTCTAGTGTATTATATGACTGATCCTACGAAAACTTCATTTGGGAAGTGTGTATCTGATTGGAGTGGTTTTTTGTTTTTTCCTTGTTTATGTTATTAGATCGTGACGTAGGTTTAGTCAGGTGAATGTTTGTTTATTGTTGAATCTTCGCGCAAAGCTACTCGAGGACTACTTGCTCTAGCTGTCTCTAATTTTGAAGTGATGAACTAAGAGAAAGATAACTAGTGAACACCACCCACCACCAGCTCTTGTGATACTCTTTATTAACGAATTATGGGACTGACCGTAACATTACAACGCTCCCAACGGTTGAAAGCGCGAGCAGTCGGCAACGGGTTTTAATCCCCGGCTTGCAGATAGGGAGTCGAACGCCCTAACCATCAGGCCATGCCAGGTCTCAAAGGAATGTACTGGAACTTTGCAGTAAAATTATTAATAAGAATTAGGAGTCATATTATGGTGCTTTATGGATTTTTTTTTCAGTCAAAAATATGTACTTCGATTAATGGTAAGATATAATTATACATTATACATTAGATATATTGTTTGGAGAAATAGATACATAGCATATGTTTTTATTATGTGAGATTTGGCAAAATTAATGAGTTTCAGTTTATTTAGAACAGTACACTTCTAAGTTCTATCGTTTTCCATAGATGTTAATTTTTTTCTAACCACACGCTATTGTAAAATAAATGTTTTCATCTAACAAAACATTACAACTTACGATGGAAGCTCCTGATTTCGGGGTGAAGTAAAGTAAAATGTAAAAATAAAATACACAGTTTCGATCTCATTTGAGATATTATTCCATTTTGTGGCAATGAAAGAAGTTAGAGCCAGCAAAGGATTTATTACCCTCTTCTACTGAATGTAATTTTGTTGCAAAACAAAAGAATGATTTAGAATAAAAACATGATTCAATTTCATCTCTTGATAACCATATTGTTTAAAAAAGTCTCAATCCTTGTTGGAAGGATACAGTTTGAGAAATCTACGTAGTGTTCTAAAAACTAGTTGGTTCACAAGAAACTCAAAAGTAACCTTACGAATCACATATTATTTCTATTTCTTTAATAAATAGTAACTAAAGTCTCTCAGTAGCTCAGTGTTAAGTCTCCAGACTAATGACGTTAAAATAGCCCATTGAGTAGCTTTGTGCTTAACATTAAAACAAACAAACATTAAAGTTAATTATAGAAAAGAAAATCAGTAGCTTAGATATATATATATATATCTATTAAATATTTGTCTGCCTCTTCGTCTATCTCTGAAGATATTTTTAAAATACTAAATACACTGTTTTTGTTTTTTGGGAGATGTAACGAAACGCTGAAAAACAAAAACAACAAAAATAAAAAAATGGCATATTTGACTCATCAAACGCTAACCAGTTTAAGTCTCTGGCCTGGTTCCTTGGCCTTGAAGCTGAATAATATGTTAGGCTTGAAGGGAGTTGCTGAGAGAAGGGGGGAAGAAGACGACCTGATTGACCGTGAGAGTCTGCTGACCCGTCTGACTGCATGCTGTTTTATGTGTAAGTCACGTACATTCTACAAGTTCCAATGTTGCTCTGTGTTGACAAGTATTTGTTTCGAACTGGGTCTTTGGAATGTGAGCATTATCCAGAATTGAGGATTATTGCATATTGGCCGAAAGAGTCTGTTTAACTAAATATGGATAACACTGGTAAATGTTATCTATCCACCCAATTACTGTAATAATTGTATGCAAGCTAGCTATACAAGAAAGGCGTAAGACTAAATGTTACGATTAGGCAATAAGGAATTAGTAAAAAATAAATAACTTTCCCATTCTCTAAAATCACGCGTGGTTTTCAAATTACAGACTGAACCAAAATGCAGGTTTTCACAATTCAATTCTTGATTTCTATTATCTCTGAGATTTTGTTTTAAACTAAAATAGTTATTTTTGAGTTGCTTTATGCTCAATGAAAGTACTTTGGGTAAGTTTGGTGATTTGTTTTCGTTGAAATATTTACCTTTAAAGTTGTTTCATAGTGTGGTGGATTTATTAATTTTACATATTTTGTCTATAAAGTGAGTATCTATGATAGATTCAATATTGATCACTTCTGACAATAAATATTGAGACCACCAGTGACAGCACTTATGAAATGTAAATACACAAAGCATATTTTTGTATTTGATTTCTTAACCTGGAGAGCTTATAATGCATGAAGTCCATAGGCAATGAGTGTGTTTTTAAGTAGTTTAGGATTTGTTTGTTTGTTTTGAATTTTGCGCAAAGCTACGCGAGGGCTATCTGCGCTAGCCGTCCCTAGATTAGCAGTGTAAGACTAGAGGGAAGGCAGCTAGTCGTCA